TAAAAAAAAAAAAAAAAGAAAGCAAGTTGCCTGGTCCAGGACTCAAACCGCGGTTGGCCATGTGGGAATCCAGTGCCTTTAACCATCATGACACTTGCTGGCACCACAAAATTTCTTAAATAATCTAACTGCTTTCAATAGCAAGTTCAGCTGATATATACATATCTGTGAATACATGGCTGTCTATCTTTCTTTTTCTCTTTTTTTCTTTTTATTTTGTTTATTTTTTCTCTTTCTTTCTTTCCTTCTTTTCCTTACTTTATTTTTCCTTTTCTCCTTTTCTTTCTTTCTCTTTCTTTCTTCCACGACTACTTCTTTTTTTTTTTTTTCTTTTTCTTTTTTTTTTTTTTTTTTTTTTTTCTTTTTCTTTCTTTTTTCTTTTTTTTTTTGGAGAGGTTTTCGCTATAGAGCGCGTGCTCTCACCAGACAGACAGAGACGTAGAGACAGAAAGTGAGAAATCACCCCCAGTAGGGATGGTCACGCCGCAATCCCTTCTCCTCCATTCTCCTCTCGGGATCTTGGGCACGCACGCACATGTGCCCGGTGTGAGTTTTAAGCCACTGGGTCCGGGATGCGAACCGCGGTCAACTACGTGGGAGTCCAGCGACATGGCCATTACGCTAACTGCTGGTTCCCACCACGACTACTTCTTGATGACACATCTCATTTGCTTGGCAGATATTTCTTTATCCTAAAAGTAGACAGAACGGTACACTCAGAGAAAATTTCTGCACTTCTTTTCCCCTTTGGGGATCCAATTTGAAGCTCTTCTACCTAAATTTTCTCTCAGTGCATGAATTTGGCCTTTTTGCGGGTCCATACATCTTTGATAAGATTCTATGAACCTTAGGACTTCTGTCTGTGTGACTTTTTCTTCCCTGAACTGAATGGGCAATATTAATTAGATGGGGAAGTTGTAAGATATTCAGAATATTGACTTCTCTATATAAGAATTCCCAAATAATTGTAGAAGATTGATGAGTTCACAGAATTCTCCTTGTCCTCAAGGAATGTTCAATATAATACAGAAGACCAATATATTCAATAAACCCAAATCTATAATTTCATCTACATATATCTTTGTACATGTGAAGACAGTTACCCAGGTAGAAAGGAAACCACCAATAAAGGGTATTGCATACCTTAGCTATAAGATTAATGTAGACCTTGTGAAAGAACTCTGCAAGAGGTGGAATTTTGGAAGATGAATGGAAAAAGCAAATATATTCAGTGCTACATTAATGACATTTAAAATTTGGTTTCAGCAAAAAACCTGCCAAAATTCAAAATTCATGAATTAATTCTAATTACATATTTTCTATAATCTTTGAGAAAATCCTGGACCTAAAGTTTTCCTTTTTGGTGTTGTAAACTGAATGTTTGAAGAGCTATAAGCTCTGTGAAGTGATAAATAATACTATATTTATTAACCATTTACTATTTAATTAAGCCTATTAATACTTTATCTCCTGAATACATTTTTAAGCTTTTTTTCTGGTAAGATATTATTCTTGTATGATAAGGATAATAAGCACAGTGTAATAGAATAAAAAAAGAATGATCTCAAATAATAGCTTATCTGAATAGCAAATAGTGGCAAATGGGAATCAGGAGAAATGGATGAGTTCAAATCCACACTCCCTCACTTGCAGCGTATGACATCCCAAGCCCTCCCTGCCTGCTCTTTAGAACTGCCGTAACATCAACCATCATCCTACAATACTTAAGATTCTGAATAGTGTATAGCTTTTGCTTGGTGCCTACCTGGACCCGTGATCCCTCCATTTCCTTTGGGTAGAAATTCTCACATAGATGTGTAAGGAGGAGTGTATGAGGATGTTCCCGACGGCACTGTTAGTGATGGTGTGCAGCAGGAGGCCATTGAGTATCTGTCACTGGGTAGCAGACACACAAAAATATGGTGGAAGCACAGAATACAGCATTTAGAAGCAACAGATTGTTTCCAGAGTAACATGGGTTCATCTTAAAATCCAAGTGAAAATAACCTACTTAACATAAGCTCTTCTCTGAAAATGAAAAGTGCATATAATAAAGGAATTAATGTTTTACAAAAACACGTGTAAATAAAAGGACATGCTTTAAGTAAATTATAGGTGGTGTTTGTGGGGGTGAAGAAGAAACAATGAAATGGGTCAATGTTGCTAAGAGGAGCAAGGTCCTGTAGCCCGGCTATGGTCAGCGGTAAGAAGCAAGAAGTGAGCAAGTACCTCAATCTTCTATACTTTGGCTATAAAAGAAGAAAAAGAGAAAATAAACAAGTAAAGTAATAGAAGTGCCTGGCCCACAATAAGTGGTCTACTAGTATATTCCAAATTCTTAGGTGCCCGAGAACTATAAAACTGCAATAACAATGATCCATGACCAGGCTATTTTGTAATAATGTTGTGATGTAAATTTAAGAAAAGTAAATTTACATTTACTTGTAAATATGAGACTTAGAGTTCCATTCCAGACTCTGACTTCACAAGCTAACTCTGTCACTAAAATACAAAATACAGTGTGAAGAGTGTTTGGTTTGACCATACTTTACTATTAAATGTATTTTCATTATTAAACAAATGGTTTCAAGGACACTTTTATAGTGACACACGTTACAGAGAGCTGTGTTAAAGTTTTAAGTTGAAGCACAACATTCTCTTAATGAAATGTAATGGTATTTTCATGAAATAAAATTAACAAAATTCTTTAAAAAACCATCAAGCACAAAGAAAAATAGAATCCTGGCTTGGAGTAGTCTAATTGCTAGGTACTGGTATACTAGGCTAAGTGGGTGGTCTGACAACTGCAATCCATAGCATCTACTCCTTAATTATTATTTTAGGGCAACCAGTTTCAGCTATGAAGATGTGTGGTCATCATTTTTAGCATGTAAATGTCATAGGTCATTGTTTTGAAATCCTGTGAGGAATACATTTCTTTTTCATCTCTCTCTGCCTGATAATGAATGAGCCATGTACTTTCCTCAATCTCCCCCGTCTGGAGAGCTTTGTGCCTGGCTCTGTTTGGTAGTCAGGACACAGAGCCTGTGTTTTAGTGAGAAGACTGGCATCAATACCTAAATCAGTAACAAACAAGCTCACACCCCAGAGAACACACCTCAGGTGAGCTTAGATCATATACATGCTGGCTACAAACAAGATGAATTATAATGGGAATTAGAATGAATATGTATGTGTGGGGATAGATAGTGGCCATCTGCCATAATGTTCTAGAGAACACAGGACTAGACCGAGCTTCTAAAAGAGGGCAAAGCTGTGACCTAGTACATCAGTGGTAAAAGAATGAACTCTTTCTAGGTCCCTTGGGTATTTAATAAGGGAGAAGATGTGGCTATGATAGAAGGGTGTGAAAGTGAGATAAGTGAGTTAATTGGCTTTAGTGAACAATGGTGTATAAAGAATATTCCTGAAGTGAGTTGGGATGTTGGGTGCAAGTAACAAGAGTCAACAAAAATGGCTCAAACAATGCAGTGATATGATGATCTCACATGACAAGAAACCCCAAAGTAGGGCACGTCCAGAGTAGGTCAATCCATCCTCTCAGTGGTGTGCAACCAAAGACCCAAGTTCTTAGGGAGATGTTTTTTCCTTTATTTATTTATTTTTTCATTTCATTTTCTTCCATACATTCAATCACATTATTATTTGTCTTAAAAAATGGATATTTCAACAGGTAAACATTTCTCCCTAGTACTCTTGATAAAACTATGAAATATCTTCAACAGATATTTGTGCCATTAATGCTTTGTGCCATTAATGCTTTGCCTCCCTGTCCCTCCCCCAAATGTCCTTCCTCAGACCCTCCTCTTTCACACACACTATATCTGGTATTTACATCTATATACTGCGTTTCTCTATCCTTTTGACAATTAGTTTCAGTCATAGAGTGCATATATACTCGGTATATATTAAGTGGGGACAGAGATTTTTGCTATAGGACATGTGTGCTTACCAGAGAGACAGAGAGACAGAAAGTGAGAAATTATCCTCCTGGGGATGTAGTGAACAATGGTGTATAAAGACACACACACATACACACACACACATACACACACACACACACACACGTCTAGCTGAGTTTCAAGTGACCAGATCCAGGACTTAAATAGCAGTTGACTATGTGGGAGTCCAGTGATGTAACCATGATGCCATCTGCTGGTCCCTTGGTTTAGTCTCTTAAGCTGGCTACCTCATGGTTACAAAATAACTGCTGAATAGTAGTCACATGCAAACAAACAACTCTGCGAAGAAGAAGAGATCTGATTTCTTCCTGTGGATCTCTTCTTATTTAAAGGGAAATCTTTCCTATAAGCCCTTCCCAGCAACTTCTCCTCCTTTCTTATTGGCAAGAATTTTGGTATCTTTTGATGGCTAGAACAGTCTCTGATTTGGAATACAGAGTTACCCCAGTTGGCTTAGATCAACCAAAGCCTGATTCTGAGGACTGGGAAAGTTGAAGCCCTTTCTGAAGAACTGGCTACATGAAATCTACATCATAGTAGGTCCTCTTAGCAAAGAAGGGAGTGGAAGGAAGGTTAGTTTTCCATTCACTTTCTGTTAGATTTTGTTTGTTTTTATTAGGCTGTCTGAGGGAGAATGTGAAGGTATCTGAAAATAGAAAAAAAATATATTCAGTGAAGAGATCATGAGAAAGAAGTCCAATAACCTACAGAGCAATCTGAAAATCAGAGGGAGACCATGGAGAAGAGAATCAGACAGTATCAGTTGAGAGGAGAGAAAGAGATTGAGATTTATCATCATGGAAAAGATATAACCTCTGACTAGGTGGCATGGAGACCCAATCCAACAAACGCTGAATTGTCTCTGATTTCTTCTCAATGGGGAATGCCAGGCTTACAAAGACACAGTCCTGCTTGTCTCCTGCTTTATTGTTCCCCACATTCGGCCTCCTATGTCCTGCTCTTGTAACATGAAGTTCTTTTTCAAGTATTGAGTCTCTGTTCATGCTATTCCTTTTGTCAGGAATGCTCTTCTTACATGTATATACATGGATGACTCTTCATTCTTTAAGAAGTGGAAGGGATATTACCTTCTCCAGGAAGTCTACCTGTAACTCTGAGTTTGGCTATGTGTCTCTCCTCGGTGCTTACATGGTGTTTTGTGTACACATACATATAGTACTTACCGGATTGAAATTCTCTCCATCTCTTCACAGATGTTTATTGAGTTCCTACTCTATGGCCAGGGCTGGCTTAGGTGCTGGAATAAAGCATATAAACAAAACACATTCCTTGTTCCAATGGATATGGTACTCTATAGAAAGGCAGATCAGATAATAAAAACATGTACAATACGTCAGGTGTCTTGCTACTCAGTTAGTAGTCACATGAGCATAATTCATCTATAGATATTGTCTGTACCTTCAAGTGAGGCTCTGAGATTTTTCCTCCTTTTGTTCTCAGGCAGTGCTTGCGTAAAAATGGATTCCCTCAGCACAGCAAATGTTGAATTTTGCCTTGATGTATTCAAAGAGCTGAACAGTAACAATGTAGGAGATAACATCTTCTTTTCCCCGCTGAGTCTGCTTTATGCTCTAAGTGTGCTCCTTCTCGGTGCCAGAGGACACAGTGCAGAACAAATGGAAAAGGTATGGAACCCCATTGTTCATACACCCATGGGTCAGTGGCATTTCTGTTGTCTTTATACCAAGAAAACTTTGCCATTTTGTGTGGAAAAAAAAAAAACATTGGGCAAACCATATTTCTTAAAATGAGTTCTGGCTTAGATAAATAATACATTGTAATGTGAATCATGCAATACATAGTATGTTCCTTCCCATCAGTGGTATCATAAATACATCTCTACAGTTAGTGTTTAGAGCACCTTTCAGCGATTTAAATGTGATAGAAAACAAATATATGATATTATTCTTGATTTCTAGAAGTTTAAACTTATTATGAAACTTAACAATAGTTTAAAAGTTATCAACTTAAAGAATTCATTATTATATTTGGACATCATAACCTGTGTATCAGGTAGAGATTATTAGCCCCATTTTTCACATGGAAAAATAGAGAGAGGGGAAAGGCAACTTTGAGGTTCCATAGGTGAACATTTGATAATCTTTTTCATTATACATATGGTTATGTAAATTCTGGAGGAATATCACAACAACTTTTGGAATATTTGTACATCTTATTATTGTTTGTGCTGGGATGCCACAGAGTGTCATCCATGGCCCTAGAGTGCCACTGTCCTAGTTAAATATCTGAGAACAGTAGCTATGATGAAGGCAGGAGAGCTTGGTAACTTGGAGCTCAGTCTTTGGAGACTGACAGGCAATGGTCTGGAGCTGCTTGATCTCTTTTAACCTCAATCTTCTCAGCATAAAATGGGGATCATGGTATCTACTCATTCATTTCTTTGGAGACTTACATAGAAGATGTGAAGACTTAGTTCAGAACTTGGAACATAACAATATTATGTGTTAGCTATCATTGTTGGGTTATCTAAACTGGAAAAACAATTCAGCTGTTAACCTTTAGAGACCATACATTGCTTTTGATGTCAGTTGCTTCCTTTTCCTTTTCCAGGTGCTTCACTTCAATAATATTGGAGAATCATTAACACCAGAATTTAAGGACTCATATAAGGTATGATAGTATCGTTGCTGGGCTGTTGAATGCTCTTTAACATAAGAATACCAAGAAATAATAGTCCGGTGTCTTTGGTCTTAAGGGAGAAGCGATGTCTACTTTGATCTGCTCGTTTAATTTTCCTACCAATCACTATCATCTATAGAGCTTAACATAATGTTAATAATGAAAATAACAATAAGAGACTCTCCTAGATGTTGTTATCTGATTTATTGATATCCTTACTTAAACTTCAGTGATTTCCTTGTTCTTTTTTTATTATTTTTTTTTTTTTAGAGATTTTTGCTATAGGGCATGTGTGCTTGCAAGAGAGATAAAAAGAGAGAGAAAGTGAGAAATCACCCTCCTCTGGGGGGATAGCCACACCATAATTTCTTCTCCTCTATTCTCCTCTAGGATTTTGGGTGAGTACACATGCACACATGTCCAGCGTGAGTTTTAAGCCAGGGGCTGGGACTTGAACCGTAGTCGACTACATGGGAATCCAGCGATGTAACTATTATGCCATCTACTGGTCCCAGATGATCCCTTCTATAAACTGTGTCCTATGTTGAATCTGTTAGCTTTTTCATAGTGCTATATTTTTTTCAGTTTGGTGAAGGGATGCTTTGCATAAAATTATAGTAGAAAAATGGTTGTTGCCCAACTCATACACTCTGGGACGATGGCTCCCAGTTCTTTCTAGAAAAAGAATTCATTTTAATACCTAAAGTATGTAGAACTCCCACATGAAAATAGTGTGTAACAGTGATTGGTGAGAAAATACATAAACACTTGTAGTCACAAAATACTTGCTTATAGCTTATTATTAGGAGCTCAAAGTCCATAGTTTAGAAACCATTACTTCAGGAAATATACACGCAATCCCTTTACAGCTCTACATTTTGGGCAGTTTCAATCACATCAAAGCTCTATGCTTAGCAAAATCGCTACTACTAAGGCCAGTTCAGTGAAAGGCTGGAGTGTTTGATTAAATGGCCACATAGAAAACGAGACATTGAAAAAAACATCATAGAGAAGAGAAATAATTCTGTAAACATAAAAGCAAAGGTAGCAATAGCATTTGGGTTATTGGCTTAAATACCCCACGAGGATCTCCTTGTTTTGGAAACTTCGGCTTTATTTATGGAAACTTCTGCCCCTACTGGGGTCAACAGGGCATGCGTGTTTTACAGTAGCTTACAATTTTGAATAGTCTGCAAGCAACGTCAAAGAGTGATAAGATTATTTTGCTAGAGGAAATCTGCAGAAGAAAAGTGCTTTAAACTCTTGAACTCTTTGTATTCACTGCCTTTTTACTTGTGAGCAAACACCTTGTTTGCTGGATGTTTTGTTCACATTATTTATAACTCTCCGATGGCAAGAAATCAAGCAACTTAATACACCTTTGTTTCTGCTGTTTACTTTCTTTGTTTCTGATGTTCTAGTGCAGCCAAGCTGGAAGAATTCATTCTGAGTTTGGAGTCCTATTCTCTCAAATCAACCAGCTGGACTCTAACTACACGCTCAGCATTGCAAACAGACTCTATGGGACAAAGGCTAAGGCATTCCATCAGGTAACCCATCTGAAATGCTGAGTAACGACTTCCTTGGCACACTGTGAATTTCATACCATAAAATTAATGAAGGGTGAGAAGAGTCAAGAAAGGATGAAGCACAAAAAAAGTAGACAAAAAGTTATGTCTGTGGGTCAGAGGAAAACCTATTTTTTTTTTTTTTAATTTTCTTTCAAGGTTCTTAATGCAGAGTATCAGTTAGTTGAAGGTACTCTGCACTGGGAGTCACAAGACCTGAGTTCTGCTCCCATCTAGACCCATGACTTTGTGCAAGCCATTTCTCTTATCTTTAAAATTAGAGGACTGAGCTAATTCTATCCAGTGCCAAAGTGGTAACAGCAGGCTCTTCCCTATATGCACTATAGTATGTAGTTTATGTATGTGCTAATTCATATATTGCAGGTGTTATTTCGTATAATCCTGTTGTGCTAAAATGTAAGTACAAAACTGCCATTGATTCTGCAGATTGTAAAACAGGTTCTGAAAAGTCAAATTGACAAAGGTCACAGGGATCCTCAAATGACAAAATCTAGATTTTTATCACTGTCTAAATTCATCTTCCCATTTTTAATCATTTTGTCATCTTGCTTTAAGTAAAATACTAGATTAGCAATGTAGGTTTTGTCGGTCCAGTATTAAATGCTAACTGGGTGAAGCCGGATGATGTCCTTAGGCTGGTAATCCAGAGTATGTCTTAGATGTGACATGCTTCTGAGACTCAGAATTATTATTTTTGCAGTTAGGTGGGTAGCTCACTTTTGTACTACAAACATTTTGCTTTGAATGTTTTAGAACTAAGAAAGCCAATCATCTGACAGAATTAACAAGGAAAACTTTCTGAGCATTCCTTTTAGGGGTATTTTGGATTTAGTTATTATTTTTTAATAATTACTAGAAGGTATGTGCATACACGTGAGAAAGAAAGAAGGAGAAAGCACACCTTGCAATGGTGCGTGGCCACGCTGCAGCCCTTTTCCTCCGTCCCTCCATCCCATCAGGATTTTGGCCCCTCATACACACAGGCCCTCGATGCCTTTCAAGTTGCCTAGGCAAGGGTTCAAACTGCGGCTGACCATGTGGGGCTGGCCCAGGATTTTGTTAAGTTTATTCATTTTATTAAACATAAGTATATAAAGATTCTGCTCTTTCAGACTTGTATGTAGGAACTGCTCTTGTGTCTGTGTTAGGATTTTAGAACACATACAGCTAAAGGTATTTCTTTCCTGTACACTATTTTGTGAAATTGTTTAATTGCCTTTTTTTTATAATAGCAATATTTAAACTGTTCTGAGAAATTGTATCAAGCTGGGTTGGAAACTGTTGATTTTGAACAGTCTGCAGAAGAAACAAGGAAAACTATTAATGCTTGGGTGGAAAGTAAAACTAATGGTAAGAATAAGTCACAAATGTGTCTCCAAACGTTATATGTGTTGTGTTGACAAACTCTCTGAATCTATCTGCTAACAAAAAAGCTGAAGGAAGTCCAGAACTGATAGGCAGGTCAGCCATGAAGGGCAAGAGGCCATATTGTGGAATGCCAGTTGTACTCTTGGTCTCAAATGATATATACCATGTGATTCTGAGAAAGAACATCATTTCTATTTTATAGAAATGTTGTTGCACATTATACAATTAAATGAACGTAAAACTATCTTTTACAATAAGAAACTACTATATTTTGTTCAGTATTTATTTTTTTAAATGGCACAATAACAATTTGCTAACAAAAATGTGTTTCTTTGCTTAAAAATACTTAGTTAAGGGTGACCAGCAGTTGACATAATGGCTATGTCGCTGGACTCCCATGTAGTCGACCGTGGTTAGAGTCTCGGACCTGGTGGCTTAAACTCACGCCAGGCACATGTGCATGTATGCCCAAGATCCCCAGAGGAGAATGAAGGAGAAGGGATTGTTGTGTGGCCATCTCCCCTGGGGGGTGATTTCTCTCTTTCTGTCTCTCTGCCTCTCTCTGGTGAGCGCACGTGTACTATAGCAAAAACCTCTCCAAAAAAAAAAAAAAAACTTTGTTAAGGAAAAAAATGTAAGTTTATACAAAAGTAGAGAGAATATCAATGAACCCTAATTTATCCATCGCTCCACTACAACATTGATCACTCATGGTCAGTCTCATGTGTATATACATTCTCTTTCCCACCAGCTCTTGCTCTTCCAGATTATTTTGGGTCAAATCCCAGGTATCTTATCATTTTTCCTATACATATTTCAGTTTGTTTCTATGAAAGTATAGACTATTTTTAATATGACCACAACACTATTATCACATCTAGAACATTAAAAAGAATAATTTACTATTAACAAATATTCAGTATGTTTTCATATTTCTACAGTCTTCTTTTTGGCTTAAATCATCTATACCTTGCAATTCGTCGATACATCCCTTAAGTACCGATTTTATATATACTTACACAAAAGTAGATTATTATAGATAGATTGTTTGAAAACTATCATGAAGTGAATCCCATAATCACATTAGCTTTATAACAAGTCTTGGTTAGCTGAAAGTATAAATCTTCTGACATTGATTGTCTTCTAAGTTACTTTGGCTAATCTTGATCTTTGCATTTTCAAGTACATTTAAAATTTAGCTTGCCAACTTTCATAAAATACATCAGTTCAAATTTTAATTGGAATTACATGGATCTATAGATTTTAAGAGATAAAACATCTTTATCAGCTTCCAACTTATGACCATGAAATTTAACTCTTCTTATTTAGGTCCTGTTTAATTTATTTCAGTAATATTTTGTATTTCTTGATGTTAAAGTTTTGTCAGACTTGTGACAAATTATTTCTAGGTTTTGTAATATTTGTTGAATTTTAGTTGGTATCTATTTTTCAAATTTTATTTGTTGTGGTTGATGTATTAGTATATAATTGACTTTTGTGTATTAACATTGCTGAATTTACTTAATTCTAGCTTAGCTTTACACTATTTCAGATTTTATATAAACACAATATTTTCTTTTCTAATATTTCTGGTTTCTTTTCTTGCCTTATTGAAGAGGGCCTTCACGTGAATAGAAGTGTGATACTGGGCATCATGTTGAATCTTGTTTCTGAATTTAGGTCTTGTTTCTAAGTGGTTTTAGTAAAACATCAGGAAAAATGTGTGCTGCAATTAAAAAAATGTGTTTTTATGAACACATGTTTTTGAGATGAAGACTGTTTCTTATTTCTAGCTTCTAAGAATTTTTGACAAAAATGACAATCATATTTTATTGAGGATTTTTCTGAATCTATTGAGCTATTATTTTATTATAATATTTAGTGAATTATATTGATTGATTTTTAAAATATTAATATTAAGCTAAACATATCTTTTTCTTTTCAGATTATTTCTAGGGGCATGGGGTGGGAAGCTACTGTCAACAGGGTCTCGCCATGCTGCAAGCCTTTTCGCAGTCACCCAGACCTTCAGGATTACAGGCATACCCATTATGTTCAGGTCTGCCAGGGATCTGATTGGGCCTCTCATAAGGCTGCAGTTTCACCAGCAGCACCTGCACCACCATAACTAGGCCTAACTTTATTTTCTTACTTGATCAGAATGCATTATATTTTTTCATTATCAGGTTGAGTTCCTAATATTTTCCTTAGAGATTTTGTAACTATGCTAAAAGAATTTGACTTAGATTTCCTTTCTTGGAATATTTTTGTTAGTACAGGTAGCAACCCTTTCTTCATGTAATGAGGCCACAAGTGTTCCTTCTTTTCCTAATTTCCAAAAGAGTTTATGTAAGATTAAAGTGATTTTTAAAAATATGTTTAAGAGAATCCATTGGTGAAGCCCTCTGAGTCTTCTACGGTGTCTTCTATGTCCTTTTATGTGGTGAACTTATTTTATTTATTTGTTTATTTAGGGGGTTTATTAATTTATTTATAAGTTCATTTCGTGGAGAGAATACTTAACATCTGACCGGGGTTTATTAATTTATTTATAAGTTCATTTCATGGAGAGAATACAAAACATCTGACGAAATTTCAAGTATACAACACAGTTTTATTAACTGTAGTCTCCATGACGTACATGAGGTGTCCAAAATGGATTCATCTTATAACTGTCTTTATACAGTTTTTGTTTGTTCGTTTTTTTAACTTTTTGCCATAGGGCATGTGTGCTCACCAGAAAGACAGAGAGACAGAGAGACAGAGAGCGAGAAATCACCCCGCAGGGGGGGTGGCCATGCCACAATCCCTTCTCCTCCATTCTCCTCTCGGGATCTTGGGCACGTAAGCACATGCGCCATTTTCTCACTTTCTCCCATTCCCCAATACCTAGTAACTGCCTTTGCTCTCTGCCTTTAAAGTCTCTTTTATCTAAGGATGTCTTTCTACCTCTCCAACTTTTTTTTCTGCAGAATGTTTGTTAAAGAAAACAAATATTTGCCTTGTAGTTTCCATAGTGTAGATAGTGATGACTGTATCCTGAAATGTCATTCAATAATTTCCTATCTTTATATTGCTATGCACTGGCAATCAGAGCTAGAGACTTGATAAGACTCAGGTTAATATTTTCTTTTAACAAAGGTGCTTCATTGGAGGTGCTGTGTGTCCCTCAGGAGATAGATGTCTGACTGCTCCTCTTGGTGTGTGTGACAATCGTGGTCATTGATGATGATGGCTTAGGTCCGTTATTTCATTAAAGGTCATAAAATTGCAGTCCAATGCAAGTATTTCTTCTTTATATATAAGATGATGTATTTCTCACAAATTCATTTGGGAGAAACAGAAAAATTGATTCCAAATTCTTTCTCTTCAAAACCAGTTTCAGAATAATATTCTCCTCCTCTCCGGCATCCTCCAAAGGTGGCCAATGAGCTTTTTCTATTTGTTATCATTATAAAAGAGTACATTACGGTTTTTACGTGCATCCATCTATTGTAGTTATTATTCATATTGCAGGTTTAATTGCCAGTTTAGGGACCAGCAGTTAGCGTAATGGCTATGTCGCTGGACTCCCATGTAGTTGACTGCGGTTCACGTCCTGGACCCGGTGACTTAAAACTCACGCCGGGTGCGTGTGTGTGCGTGCCCACGGGTGCATGTGTGTGCGTGCCCAAGATCCCAAGAGGAGAATGGAGGAGAAGGGATTGCAGCATGTCTATCCCCCCTGGGTGGTGATTTCTCGCTTTCTGTCTCTTTGTCTCTTTCTCTCTGTCTGGCGAGTGCACGTGCCCTATAGCGAAAACCTCTCAAAAAAAAAAATTGCCAGTTTAGTGAGGGGCACCTCTGCACATCGATTCCTTTGTCCTTCTGATGTTTACTCTTGTAGAATTTGGTAGGGTTCTTGCTTTCTCATTTGGCCAAATGTTCCAGACTCATCTTTTATTTCCCCCCCCCCCCCGGCCAAACAGGTAGGTTTTTATGAACACATAAGAGAGAGAAGGGAGAGTGAGAGAGAGAAACCTCTCACGGGGCCTAGTCATACCGCTGACTCTCCATCTTATCAGGGTCCTGGGTATGCATGCATGTGTCTAGCATGTTCTGAAAGCTGACAGGGTGAGACTTGAACCCTGGTCACTTTCTCTGCACAGCATCTAACTGCTGTTCTACAGGGTTGGTCCTTCAGACTTATTTTTATTCATTTCCTGTCTCTATCTTGAAATTGCCTACTTTTCCAGGGTGTTCTGGATCCTTCTAATTAGAATCGATACTTAGAGACCATATTCTGGATACAAAAATGCTCATCACTAATAGTTTGGTCATGTTTTTTAGGCCTTCCAGTGTTTATAACTAAGGAATATATCTTTTCTAGGTTAATTACAACAACTTTTTAACTTATATTCCCCATTTAAATTTAGATTAATAGTATTTTTACTTAAAGCTCACCCTTTACATCTATATTTCTTTTATCTCATGTCCAAAATCCCATTTTCCATTGTTGCTGTGTTTCCAGTTATCTCATACCACAACACAGTCCCAAAATAACAATACTGGTAAAACAATCATAGCTTATAATACTTTTTGCAGTTCTTTTTGTCCTTAAAATATATTTTACTAGAACTGTAGTCATATTGCCATGTTTAAAGAATCCCCCTCTGATAGCCATAAAAACCAACAAGACTCTAGCATTTGATAGAAAGTGGTCAGATATGGAGGATCTATTGTGGAGTGAAGCAAGCCAGGATACGAAAGAAAGATATTATATTTCCCCCCTTAATATATACTGACTATCCATACTTTATGGTAGAGATAGAAATATTGGAGGCCATAGAAGTGAAAATAGTTAGCGATGATGAAGACAGTGTGGAACGGGGCAAGAGAAAAAGAGTATAGAAAAGAATAGCAAGAGAACAAATAGAGAGGCAGGACATTAGTGGGACACAGAAATGGTTTATTATCTGTTGATGATGACGTGTATAGTATTTTTAATTGGACTGGTCTGAGAAGTATTTCATGTTGGATAAAATCTTTTTACAAGCTAGACGATAGTTACTAAATGTTTAAAAAAATTGGAATAATAGTAATAATAATCTGGAAAAATAATTAAAACCTATTTGATGATGATGATGGGGATTTTAATGTCTTTGTATGGTATTCCTTCTGGAAAAAGAAATGTAATACACTATAAAGTTACATGTAATTCGATGTAATATAAACAAGATTATGATAAAAAATAGAATCTCCCTTTGAGTGTTTATGGCACCAACTCATTGTACCATTAGTTTCTGAACTCGTAAAACTTAACCAAGCAGATTTCTCAACATGGGAGAACACTGAGGTTATTAAATTAAAATCAGGATAAAATTGATACATCATTAATATTTGTACTAGCTACTCCCTGGGTGCTTAGAAGTAATGAAGCATTCAATATTCTTTGAAATAAACTTCATTTGACAAAGGCAACTCTTTTTATTTGAGAGTTTTTTCGCTATAGGGCGCATGCACTCGCCAGACAGACAGAGAGAGACATAGAGACAGAAAGCAAGAAATCACCCCCCAGAGGGGATGGTCACACCGCAATCCCTTCTCCTCCATTCTCCTCTTGGGATCTTGGGCAAGCACGCACACGTGCCCAGCGTGAGTTTTAAGCCACCGGGTCCGGGACCGAACCGCGGTCGACTACGTGGAAGTCCAGCAGCCATTACCCTAACTGCTGATTCCCAACTCTTTTTTTTTTTTTTTAAGAGACATTTATGCTATAGGGCGAGTATGCTTGCCAGAGAGATAGAGAGAGACAGAGACAGAAAGTGAGAAATCATTCCCTAGATGGGGATGGCCACACTGTAATCCCTTCTGCTTTCAGGATATTGGGTATGCACATACACATGTCCAGTGTGAGTTTTAAGCCACTGGGTCTGGGACACGAACCATGGTCAGCTGTGTGGGAATCCAGCAATGTAACCATTATGCCATCTGTTGGTCCCAACAAAGACAACTCTTAGACCAGGCAATGAAGAATTCCTACTGACATCTCAAATTTAGTTTAGTTTAGTTTGTTTATTTGTTTTTCTGGGTCTAAATTCCTTGTGACTATCACACTCTGTGTTATCAGTAAGTTTGAATCCAAATATAATTTTCTTTCTTTTTTTTTTTTTTTCAATACTAGGAAAAGTCACAAACCTCTTCGAAAAGGGCACAATTGAACCCTCTTCTGTCATGGTCATGGTGAATGCCATATATTTCAAAGGACAATGGCAAAATAAATTTCAGGAAAGAGAGACAGTTAGAACTCCCTTTCAGTTAAATGAGGTAAGTATTTAATTTTTCAGACTAATGACAAAATTTGGAAAATGCATTGACTATTTAAGGACAGCTGAGAAAGATTTCGTTTCTCCTCCATTCTCCTCTTGGGTTTCTGGGATATATGTAATACATGCCTGGTGTGTTTTCAAGCCACTGGGTCCAGGACTTGAACCACACGGTTTACCATGTGGTATCCAGTTTCCTTAATAGGCATTCCACCATCTGGCCCACTGGATTCCTTCCATTGTGTTTTCTATAAATTTTTATGTTTTCCTTATTAAGTGACAGTAGCCTTTCTCATAGGGCACTTAACTGATGTCTGGATGCTGAGACTCTCCGGTATAGAAGAAAACCTGTTCTTTTCTAATGTTCCCTGTGTGCATTTTTTCCCCTATATGCTGTAGCCACTTTTCTTAGCAGCACAATCAAACTGTGTTATTCCTCTACTAGTGTCTGTAATTAGATTAAGAAAATTATTCTATTGTGTTATTTTCCAAATAAATCCTTTTAGCTAGAAGCCTTTGTTTTTGGTCGAACCAAGTCATCTATGTATATTATTAGAACTACTCAGTCTCTAATCATGACTTATTTTGAAATAAAAATAAAATGATAACTTATGCAAAGGAACGTAATGAAGGATATCCTTTGTAATTTATATTTTACCTATGCCACTAGAGTGTTAATGCAGGTATTTATGTTATACAACAAAATTAGTATATGTGCATATACACTTACATATGCAACTGTACAATTTAATTATAATCTTTTTAAAAATAGGATAAAAGTGTAATTGTGGAAATGATGCATCAAACTGGGACGTTTAAATTGGCCTTCATAAAGGAACCACAGATGCAAGTTCTTGAGCTACCCTATGTTAACAACAAACTAAGCATGATTATTCTGCTTCCAGTAGGCACAGCCAATCTAGAACAGGTAAAGTTACAAGAATGCTACACACAGCAGATGCATGTGTGCATATGCACACACACACACTCTTACACACACTTGGTGTATCCTACAGCATTAGTGCATTCAGTCACTGATAAAGGACCTAAACATTCTGTGTTGTACCCAGGACAGTGACAGAAAAGGGGCAGGGGAGAAAAGATCACTGTCTTTCAAGGTAATATATTTAGAGAGAACAAGTTATTTTTACATGAAAAAAGGCACATGCAGGTGCAAGCTCCATCTTGTACAAATACACTTACTAGTTGTTTGAGACTTGAGTGATATCTTTCTCCTGTAATGAAATTATTAATTTTTTAAAGAATGATTTTAGTTGACTTTATTTATTTATTTACTTATTTTAATTTGACCAGGGAGGGACAGAATGAGAGGGAAA